GACGCTCCTTTGTGCATTTAGGAGCAGGAATCTGTCACTGAACGAGCTCTCCAGTTCAGCAGCAGCTTCATGGGGTGGGAGACGTTGTCCAGCAATGATGTTATTTTAGCTGGAGTCCTTCTGTCTCCCACCACCTGCACTGGTTCGAGGGGGCGTCCAAGCACAGAGCTGGCCTTCTTGATGATCTTATCTAGCTTCTTCTTCTCAGCTGATGATAAGCTGCTGCTCCAACACACAACACCATAGAAGATGGCTGATGCCACTACCGAGTCAAAGAAGGTCTTCAGGAGCACCCCCTGCACTCCAAAAGACCTCAGTCTCCTCAGCAGGTAGAGTCTGCTCTGACCCTTCCTGTAAAGTGCATCAGTGTTGTGAGACCAGTCCAGTTTATTCAAAAAAGTTCAATCTGGTCCTCTGGACATTCAAAAAAACCAAAAAACAAAACAAAGCAAAAAAATGTAGAAACGTTTCGTCTCTCATCCAAGAGACTTCCTCAGTCTGAGGTGCTGTTTTCAGCTCAGTCTCTTAAATAGCACCTTCTCAGAGTGGATCAACCAGTTTTGCTGCTGACAACCAAAACCAGCTGATCACATGCTCAAGAAGGACCATCAGCCTAACAATGGATCATTAGCACACTGATGGCTGTTTACTGTTCACAGAGGGCTGAGTGATACTAGCAATCACAGCATTGTAAGAGGGGGACAGTTGAACCCGGAGGCCTCCACCCCTGTTTAACGATGGATGATTTCTTTTCACAAAGATGGCCTCCTTTACTCCTCTCTCAAACCATAGTTCCTCTCTGTCCATCATGTACCACAAGGCTCAGTCTTAGGACCCACCCTCTTTACAATCTACATAGGTAATGTAGGTCAGAGCATCCTTGATGCATCCTTACATTTCTATGCTGATGACACAGTTGTTTATTGTCGAGCTAAAACAGTTGCTAAGGCTTTCTAGCTTTTGCAATCCGCCTTTGACCTCATCCAGTCAGATTTGTTCCACCTCAAACTTGTCCTAAATGCCAATAAAACCAAAGGGATGCTAGACGTCGGTCCCAGCAGTTCTTCCTCTGATTTTATCCTCAAATGGTGTCCCTATTGAGTTTGTCCATCCATCCATCCATCCATCCATCCATCCATTTTCTTCCGCTTATCCGGGGTCGGGTCGCGGAGGTAGCAGCCTAAGTAGGGAGGCCCAGACTTCCCTCTCCCCAGCCACTTGGGCCAGCTCTTCCGGGGGAATCCCGAGGCGTTCCCAGGCCAGCCGAGAAACATAGTCCCTCCAGCGTGTCCTGGGTCTTCCTCTGGGCCTCCTTCCGGTGGGACGTGTCCGGAACACCTCACCAGGGAGGCGTCCAGAAGGCATCCTAAACAGATGCCCAAGCCACCTCAACTGGCTCCTCTCGATGTGGAGAAGTAGCGGCTCTACTCTGAGTCCCTCCCGGATGATCGAGCTTCTCACCCTGTCTCTAAGGGAGAGCCCAGACACCCTGCGGAGAAAACTCATTTCGGCCGCTTGTATCCGAGATCTCATTCTTTCGGTCACAACCCAAAGCTCGTGACCATAGATGAGGGTGGGAACGTAGATCGATCGGTAAATTGAGAGCTTCGCCTTTTGACTCAGCTCTCTCTTCACCACGACAGACCTGTACAGCGCCCGCTTCACTGCAGACGCTGCACCTATCCGCCTATCGATCTCACGCTCCATTTTTCCCTCATTCGTGAACAAGACCCCAAGATACTTGAACTCCTCCACTTGGGGTAGGACCTCCTCCCTGACCCGGAGAGGGCACTCTACCCTTTTCCGGCTCAAGACCATGGCCTCGGATTTGGAGGAACTGATCTTCATCCCGGCCGCGTCGCATTCGGCTGCGAACCGCTCCAGCGAAAGCTGTAGATCACGATCTGATGAAGCCAATAAGACCACTTCATCTGCAAAAAGCAGAGATGCAATCCTAAGGCCACCAAAACGGATCCCCTCAACACCTTGGCTGCGCCTAGAAATTCTGTCCATAAAAGTTATGAACAGAATCAGTGACAAAGGGCAACCTTGGCGGAGTCCAACTCTCACCGGGAACAAGCCTGACTTACTGCCGGCGATGCGGACCAGGTTCTGACACCGGTCATACAGGGACCTAACAGCCCGTATCAAAGGGCCCGGTACCCCATACTCCCAGAGTACCTCCCACAGGGCCCCCCGAGGGACGAGGTCGAACGTCTTCTCCAAGTCCACAAAGCACATGTAGACTGGTTGGGCAAACTCCCACGCACCCTCCAGGACCCTGCTGAGAGTGTAGAGCTGGTCCAGTGTTCCACGGCCAGGACGAAAACCGCACTGCTCCTCCTGAATCCGAGGTTTGACTATCCGACGGACCCTCCTCTCCAGAACCCCTGAATAGACCTTACCAGGGAGGCTTAAGAGCGTGATTCCCCTGTAGTTGGAACACACTCTACGGTCCCCCTTTTTCAATAGGGGGACCACCATCCCGGTCTGCCAATCCAGGGGAACTTCCCCCGATGTCCACGCACTATTGCAGAGTCACTTAAGCCAGCACAACCCTACAACATCCAGAGCCTTAAGGAACTCTGGGCGAATCTCATCCACCCCTGGGGCCCTGCCACCAAGGAGCTTTTTAACCACCTCGGTGACCTCAGCACCAGAGATTGGAGGGCCCGACCCAGAGTGCCCAGGCTCCGCTTCCTCAGTGGAAGACGTGCCGGTGGGATTGAGGAAGTCTTCAAAGTATTCCGCCCACCGACCCACAACATCCCGAGTTGAGGTCAGCAGCACGCCACTCCCACTATAAACAGTGTTGGTGGCATACCGCTTTCCCCCCCTGAGACGCCGGATGGTGGACCAGAATCGTCTCGAAGCCGTGCGGAAGTCGTTCTCCATGGCCTCTCCGAACTCCTCCCATGCCCGAGTTTTTGCCTCAGCAACCACCCGAGCCGCATGTCGCTTGGACTGCCGGTACCCATCAGCTGCTTCCGGGGTCCCACAGGCCAAAAAGGTCCGATAGGACTCCTTCTTCAGCCTGACAGCATCCATCACCGACGGTGTCCACCATCGGGTTCGAGGGTTTCCGCCACGACAGGCACCGACAACCTTGCGGCCGCAGCTCTGGTAAGCCGCCTCAACAATAGAGGCACGAAACATGGTCCACTCAGACTCAATGTCCCCCACCTCCCTCGGAACATGTTCAAAGTTCTCCCGGAGGTGGGAGTTGAAACTCCGTCTCACAGGAGACTCTGCCAGACGTTCCCAGCAAACCCTCACAATACGTTTGGGTCTGCCAGGTCTGACCGGCATCCTCCCCCACCATCGGAGCCAACTCACCACCAGGTAGTGATCAGTTGACAGCTCCGCCCCTCTCTTCACACGAGTGTCCAAGACATGTGGCCGCAGATCAGATGAGACGATGACAAAGTCGATCATCGAACTGCGGCCTAGGGTGTCCTGGTGCCAAGAGCACATATGGACACCCTTATGTTTGAACAAGGTGTTCATTATTGACAATCCATGACGAGCACAGAAGTCCAACAACAGAACACCACTCTAGTTCAGATCAGGGGGGCCGTTCCTCCCAACCACACCCCTCCAGGTCTCACTGTCATTGCCCACATGAGCATTGAAGTCCCCCAGCAGAACAAGGGAGTCCCCAGGAGGTGCACTTTCCAGTACCCCCTCCAAGGACTCCAGAAAGGGTGGATAATCTGAACTACCGTTTGGTGCATAAGCACAAACGACAGTCAGAACCCATCCCCCCACACGTAGGCAGAGGGAGGCCACCCTCTCATTCATCAGGGTGAACCCCAATACACAGGCACCAAGTTGGGGGGCAATAAGTACGCCCACGCCTGCTCGGCGCCTCTCATCAGGGGCAACTCCAGAGTGGAAGAGTGTCCAGCCCCTCTCAAGGAAACTGGTTCCAGAGCCCGAACCATGCGTAGAGGTGTATGTATATGTATATGTATATGTGTATATATATATATATGTATATGTATATGTGTATATATATATATGTATATGTATATGTGTATATATATATATATATGTATATGTATATATATATATTTATGTACATGTATATATATATGTATATGTATATATATGTATATGTATGTGTATATGTATATGTATGTGTATATGTATATATATGTATATGTATGTGTATATGTATATATATGTATATGTATGTGTATATGTATATATATGTATATGTATATATATATGTATATGTATATATGTATATATATTTATGTATATATATATATATATATATATATGTGTGTATATATATATAT